CTAAATAAATTCTTTAATTATTAAATAATTTAAATAATATATTCTAATTAGTTTCCTAAAGTTATAAGAGGCCTAATAAATACTTATTTCTTTAATACTTATTAAAATAGTATAATAGAAATTATCTATATATACCTATAGTAATATAGATATCTTAACCTTACTTTAAATATTCTTATTAATTAATAGTACTAACTAGAGCTTTACGCATTATAATATATAATCCTATTTATTAAATTTATAAGAATTCTCTACTAGTCTAGATATATCTTTATAAATAATATTCTTTAAGTTATTAATTTTAAGAACTTATTAGATATAGTCCTCCTAGTATTTAATATTCTCTTTATTTTATAACTTCTTAATAGTATCTAGAATAAGCTAACTATTTATAATTTTAGTTACCTAATTAATACCTTTAATTATTAATATAGCTACTGCTTATTAGGTAAACCTTTAATTAGTTTTATCTCTATTATATAGGCCTATTAATATTTAATTTATTAATTAAGTAGGTATAGATTTTTTAAATTTAATTATTATTAGTCTTTTTAAACATATTTAGCCCTAGGGGAACCATTTATATTACCTATATTACTTATATTACCTGTTGTTTTGTAGACATCAATATCACTTAGATAGGATCTTAAATAAATAAGAATTTATTAAATATAGTACACTTTATCTTTTTGAATGACATGCTACCATGTTGGCCTAGTAGGCCTGGAAAAGGGAAGAGATGGCTGATGGTTGCTATTGCTGCTACAGCTTGGATGTGAAGCAGGTGGTTGTGCGGTGCGGCCGCGCTAAATGAGGCGACGCTAAGCCTAATTGGGCACGCACCTCTGACATTATATAACTAAGCATGGGTACAACCCTAGTACCCATGAGAGATGTGTGCCTTTGGCTATATAATGTGTATATATAAACCCTCATATAGGCCCTCTTCAAATGCATGGCTATGACTTATAGGTCACCGCCCTTACTAAAGTAAGAAGCAAAACCTGCAGCTTTATATGACTGTTCACTTTGTTGTGTACTGCCCACTTTCCGAGGCACAGCTCTGCTCTTTTCGCCCTTAATCCTATCTGTGTTGGAACCTTTCTTGCCATCTTCACTACTGACAGTCCCAGGCTGTTCCTGTAGATATTTCTGTACCGGGGCCTCCTTCTGGTAAGCATGACTGTGTGGTGAAAGTATTACTGGGTTCTCATCTTGACTTACATCATGTAATCCTGGCTTTTTTGTTGGTGCGTGATTTTTAGATGCACTACCCACCACTTTTGCGCGTCTTCTTGCTGGAGCTGTTGCTGAAACACCCATTACTTGATTCTCTAACCGTTCCATCTTCTGCTGAGTTGTTTCGGTCCACATCCTAGCTCCATCGTTTTGATCACCATGGGCTCTTCCTGACTTTGTGATCACAAAGCCGCGGTTACGTAGGTGTAGCTTATCCGCTCTTGGATACTTGTCAGCCGAGTCTGGAGGGTGTAGCATCCAATGGTCCCGCTGGGATGTAGCATGACTACCCTGTTTCTGTATGGAACTTGATTCTTCAATCTCCTTAACTTGGTATTCTGAAAAAGGATAACCAGAGGCGACCGTATCCTGAGTAGGTAGGCCTGGACCTATATCATCATCACTCTCACTTTCTGTACTTTGCACGTCTGGGGGTATGATGTCGTTTCTTGGATCGCCCGCTGTATAGTGCGAAGGCAGGGTAGGGCCTATGGATTTGGGCTTCTTCATGTGTGGTTCTTCTCCTTCGCTTTCGTTCCCGGTATGATTGATGGACTTGCGTTTTCCACTTTCAACCATCGTAAGGGGCATAGGGATTGCAGAGTATGATATAAGGAATACTAGGATCCGAGAGATTGACAAGAGGCAAAAGAGATAAAATATAAGGGAATGATTCCTGGATATAGACTGATCAGTAGTAAGTGATAGCTAAATAATGAGCTATTATGATAGTGGAATTAGATAAATGAGTTGGTCATTTATTCACTTAATAACTAGTGAATGGTAAAAAAATGAGTTGAGTTTGCTATTAGTGTGGTGAGGTGAGTTAGTAAATAACTAATGAAATTTAATTAAATGTGTATATATCTAGCTTTAGTAACCACTTAACTAGCCCTAACCTCACTACATGACCATATAGTTATGTCTTAATATATTCATAGCTCCATAGGTAGACAGTAGACTTGAATAAATAGTATTATTAGTTATAATTATGATAATGATTCTAAAAGAGAGTGAGAGTATATAAGGATAGGTAAGTAGTAGTAAGAAGTCTAGTACAAAAGAGGTAATAATGGTATTTATAAACAATATATCTTATTTAATAGTAAGGTTATTATTAAGTTTCTTTAACTCTATAAAAATGTAAAGTTAAAGAGTTTTCTTATTATATAATTATTTTTTAATTATAAGTATTATAATTACTTTATCTATAGGCCTTAGTTCTCTAAGAGTTAAGACATTATAAATAATAAATACTGTCATGGCGACGGTGAGGTCGTCCAGATGCCTTAGGCAGGCTGTGGTGAATAAGGTTGCTATTCCTATTTTAGCTTAGTGTAGGAAAGGGGAGAGGGATATTAAATATATCTTATAATATACCTCTCTCTCCTCTCCTCTTTCCTCTCCTTATTTAAATATTCTAATATTAAAGCCACTAATTAATTATTTATTTACTTAGGGCTATTATATAATATTTAAATTAATAAATCTTAATTTCTATATAATTAATAGTAATTAAATAATACTCTAATTATTTAATAATTCTACTATTATATTTAACTATTAAATTATATTAATAATAAAAATATAGTAAGACTAAATAATAATCCTTAAGTATTATTTAAATATTATAAGACTTTTAATAAAATTAAAGATAGAATAATTAAAAAATAATTTTTTAATCTATATAAATAATCTAGATATATTATAAAATATGATATTATACTTAATAATTAAAAGTAATTAATAATTAATAATTAATAATTAATAAATAAAAAGCTTTATATTAAAGCTGAGGCCGTATTAGTCTTAAAAAATAAGAAATAGTTAAAAAAGTATAAATTAAATTTATAGTTATAAAAAAGAATTTTATAAAATTTATATTAATTTTTATATATAATATTATTAATAATATTATCTTAATTAATAAAATCTTTAAATCTTATAATTCTTATAAATTTAAATACTTTATTAAACTACTTAACCCCCTAATATTAACTAATAATAAGGATTCTAGATTTAATAATTAGTTAAAATTAATAAAGTAGAAGCTATATATTAATAAAGATTATTGTAATATTAAGAAACTTTATATTATTTATATATTTAAACTTTAAGATAATATAAAGAACCTTTATAATATAATTAGTAATATCCTTAATTATTTAGAGACTATTCATAATAATTTGAATTAAGAATTAAGTTATTAACACTAAAGTATTATTTTATTATTTATTCTAAAAATAAAAATTTTTTATAATTTCTTTTTCTAACTTTATATATTTAATTATAAAAATAAAAGTTAATAAGAATAATTTTTAAAATAAACTTTATTATAAATTAAATTATTATATATAAGAATTTATTATTTTTAAAATTAATAAAAATAGATTCTTTAAGAAGTTTATTAAATACTACTTTAAAATAATAAATTAATTAAAGATTATAAATAATAATACTAACTATATAAAAAATAAATATAAAGGAATTATAGTTATTAATTTAAATATAAGTAATAAAATATTAGTTTTTATTATTAAATATTTTATTTTATAAAAGCTAAATACTTATAACTTTTTTTATCTTATTATTAATTTAATAATTAAAAAGGAGAGAGAATAATAATACTTATTTTATATATAATTTAATAAAATATAAGATTAAGGCTTATCTTAAATAAAAAATTATTAAATTAAAGCTTATTAGGTTAAAAAAACTAAAGGCTAAAAAAGAATCTATAGAATTAATAAAAAACTTAATTTAGAGAAAGTCTCCTTTTTAGGTAAAATAAAGATTAATATAAAAGAATTAAACTTATTTAAATTAATTAAAGAATAACCCTTTACTATAATTAGTTAATTATTATATAATAAATATATTATATTAATTATTATATTAATAGATATAGGAAGGAGTAAGAGAAAGTATTTTTATTAATATAAAAAAAATAAAGAATATAGCTTAATTCTTTAATATTTTTTATATCTTTTATTAAAATTAATAAATATTAAAGGATTTAATAATTAACTTGAGACTTTAATTATCTATATTATTATCTTATATTTATAAATAAATAGATATTAATTTTTAAATAAATCAATATTTATTATTAACTTAGGATATTATAATATGTTGGAGGTGTCTGCCTAGTTAGGCTTAGCACCATCCTACTTGCCTTTTCTCTCTCGCCTGCGCGTATCCTAGATAGACTCCTGTCCCTTCCAAGCTATAGAGAATTGCCTCTGATTATCTCCCTCATCTGAATAGTCCTCGCCATGAATATTTCCAAGATTGATATCACATCTGAGCGATTACTCAGATATCAACGACTTTAACGACGACGACGGCGCAGTTGAAATTGCCAGCCACGATGCCGGAGGGTCAGTCAGTTCTGTCGGATGATGGGCGAAATGTCCATTTTTTCGATAGTTCAACGGATGATATGCTGGGTGGGGTGTTTCAAAATGGCTCAATTACCGAAGCAAACTTCATCGACATGCTCAACATCGTCTTGGTGATTGAACCACAATCCCCTGTTGCACCGCGATCACTTACCGTCAGAGCGAGGTCCGGGCAAACCATCTCACGAACCAGTCAACCATTGACACCTGGAGATTATGATATCCATGTTTCTGATGGCCGTAGGTCTTCTAATGATCAAATTAATAAGAAGGAAAAAACCGGGCTCACTTGGATAGACTCTATGAAGCTCAGTGATGAGCCGTTCGTGCGCCGACTCCTTTCCTACAGTATTAGTGGTCGTGAGTTGGATTTTAAGAATGGAGTGCGGGCCAGGGATGGAAAGTGCGTCTTCACTGGGATTGTCAATCCTCGCGCTCATCTAAACAAATGGGCGAGCTGGGAGGCCGCCCATATTTTTCCTCTCGAGAAGGAAGGCCTTTGGATTGCGAATAATTTTAGTCGATGGATTACGAATGCGGACTCGGGAGGTCACTCAGCACCTATTCACTCTATTCAAAATGGGTTTCTCCTTAAGGCAGGCATACATCAATTGTTTGATGACTACTCGATTTCGGTGAATCCAGATGTAAGTGATTTGACCCTAAGATCGAAGTAACAGATATTTTACTAATCTTATCTAAAGGACAACTATAAGATCACTTCCTTTATTCCCGATGCCGATGGGGTAGATGGACGAATCCTTGACCTTGTGTGTCGAGACCCCGCCGACCCGAACCGCGTCTCCGATAACCTCCTTCGCTGGCATTTCCGACAGAGCGTTCTCGGAAACATGAGGGGTGCTGGAGAGCCTTCGTTTGAGCATGACTTCCCACCTGGCTCAGACATGCTTAAGGAGATATACGAGGGGCCGTTTCCAGTTGAACGGTTTGAAATGGAACTTTCGTCTAGACTAAGGGGACGGGAACGAGGTCAGGGCTTGGTTTAGAGACGAGGCGTGGGTTTTGATTTGATTGCGTGTTTCCATAAAGTATTATGTATTGATACCCCCAACTATTGCTGGAGTTTTTCCCCATGTTCAGAGAGTCCTTTCCACCGAAATGAGAAAGGTGATCATTGATGTGAATGTTCAAGTCCATTCGGCGTCAATTCCATAGATACTGATTTTCAATATTCTACATGTAGAAAAAACTAGAGGAGCCATTTTTGGCCCCCCTCCTTTAGAAGGACAGTTCAGCGAACATGAAGCCCGCCCTGTGATGGTGGCTACAGCACGAATGGACAGAGGCTGGAACTATGGGGTCGGGCACCAGGACACAGCAAATGCGAGGCCCGGGTGGCATTAAACGGCATGGCCGTGGCCATTGTTTCACACGAGGCCAATACCATCCACGGTGAGCAAGCGGCTTAAAACGGCGTCAAAAACAGCCGGTTCTGGCCTCCTTTCCACCGTGTCATCCTTATTTAAGGAATATAAAGCTATATAATTAAGTAATAAAATGGCTTCATAGGTAAATAGAAAATATAAATAAAAAGTATATATTCTATAATAATAATAATTATAATATGATAAGGTATTATTATGTAGTTATTAATATTAAAGAAAAATAATATTATTAAGTATATTAAGATAGCCTAAAAACCTATTAATAATACTAATAAAGAGAGAGAACCATAAAAATAATAATCAAGATAATTATAATAATAATAAATTTATTATTAATAGTCTTATCTATATAACTAAAGTACTACTAAATAAATAAATCTCTTTAATTAATTATACTACTTTAGATATATTTATAATATATTAATAAATAATTAACTTTAAATTATTCTATATAATATATTTTAAATATTAATAATAAATTATATAAAATTATAATTAAATATGAAGATAATCTTAATATATTATATAATATCTTTAAATCTTTAGGTAATAAGAAGGTAGTTAGATTATAAATAAATATAAAAAATAAATATATATAAATATATATAATATAGTATTAATAGTTTTATTATTAATTATATTTCTACATAAAAAATATTATTATAACTAATTATATAGATAATAATAATAAAATATAATTTTAAAGCTATTAATATATTTATTAAATATTATTATTTAGGCTATTATAATATTTAAAGGTTTTATTTTATTAATCTATATATTTAATAATATATTAAAAATATAGAGTTTTATTATAATATATACTCTAAAATAAAAATAAAATAAAAGATATTAATAATATATCTTTATTTTTATAATAAATTAATAAGCTTATTTATATAGATTTATAATATATAAAATTAATAGACTTAAATAATCTTAATTATTATTTAATTATAATAAATATTAAATATTAGATCCTTAATATTTACTTTATTAAAATAAATAATAAGATAAATAATAAGATAATTAAGATTTTTATACTATTTAAGAATATTAAGGGCTTATATTTAAAAGTATATTAAGTAAGTGAGTGAGTAAGTATTATATTATCCTCTAATATAGCCCTATTTAGGGCCCTTTTAGAGTTGCTAATAGCTAGATGGCAGTAATTAAGACTATAAATATATATATATATAAATTAACTAATATTAATTAGCTATATTAAATATATTTTATTAATTAGCCTCTTTAATAACTCTTCCTCTTATAGCTAGTTATCTAAATATCTTGATAACTAATTATCTAGATCCTAATTTATTATTAATTACTTAATATTAATAAGTTTATAATTAAGTATATTTATAGACTATTTTTATTAATTACCTAATATTAATAAGCCTATACTTAATTATATTAATAGGCCCTTATTATTAGTTACTTAATATTAATAAGCTTATAATTAAGTATATCTATAAGTTATCTTTATTAGTTACCTAGTACTAGTAGGCCTATATTTAATTATATTAATAAACTCTTATTATTAGTTACCTAATATTAATAAGTTAGTTAAATATATCTATAGGCTATCTTTATTAGTTACTTAATATTAATAAGCCTATAATTAAATATATCTATAAGTTACCTTTATTAATTACCTAGTATTAATAAGCCCTTATCTAAATATATTAATAAACTCTTATCTTTAGTTATCTACTATTAATAAGCTTTACTACTAGATATCTAATATTAAGGCTATTATTAATTAGTCTACTTTACTCTATTTTATTAATATTAAGGCTATTATTCTAGATTCTTCTTTTTATTAGTTATCTAGGTTTAATATCTTTTATTATTTCTTTATTAATCTTTTAATTTTTTATATCTATAGTTAATAGATATCTTAATCTCTTTTTAAATAGCTCTATTAATAATTATATCCTATATTAATACTATATTAACTATTAATCCTATATATTATTCTATTACCTAAATACTATTTATAGTATTATTTATTATATTAATTAATATAGCTATATTATCTACTATATTATCTAGTAAGACTATTATAGTTATATAAAAAGTAAGTAAGTCTAAATAGTTATTTAATACTTACTCTAGCTTATTTTAGCTTATCTAGATATCTAATCTAGCCTAATCTAGCCTAAAAATATATTCCCCTCTATTAGACTTTAGACCTAGGAGTATTTATTTATATAAATATAGCCTAATTAATATTAATAGATATATAAGAGAATTAGGAATAAGTATTTATTCTTAAGGATTAATACTCTCTAGCATCCCTAAAGCTATAATATAAGTAAGATCTTAAAGGCTATAAATAGGTATTAATTCTAGGGATTAGTGCCCTCTAGGCCCCTAGGCCTCTTTAATTATAGACCTCTAAAGATGCCCTTAATATACTTAACTAGGTTATCTATATTATCTAGGCCTAGATAAGTACTTATATTATTAAATTATTAATAATATAAGCTTATCTTTATACTATATAATAGTAAAGTATTTATATTAAATATTATTAATAATCTTAGCTTTATCTCTAGAGTATCTACTTATAGATATATTAAGGGCCTAAAGATATTATTTTAGTAGATTTATACCTCTAAGTCTCTAGGAATCTTATTAATTAAGGGTATTATTATTATTTAGAGTATAAGTAAATATTAGTACTATTAAATTATTAATAATATAGACTTATCTTTATTCTATATAATAATAAAGTATTTATATTAAATAATAATAATAGCTATTAAATAGGTCTTTAATATAAGTAATAAATATAATAGTATAAGTTATTTAAAGTAATATCTTAATTTAGAGAGTCTAAAGTAGTTTATATAATAATATATATAATAGTTCTTTAAGTCTTATTTAGGGCTAAAAGTACTATAGCTTCTCTTTAGAGCACCTTATTTAAGAGTAAAAAAAAAAGAATTAAAAGTAAGGTATAGGCTCTTAAAGTATATATATAGATATAAATAGTCTTTATAGCTTTATTAATAATAGTTTATATATTAAAGAATTAAGATAATAAGTTAAAAAAAATAATAATTTATATAATTATTACTTTTTTTTATTTATTATTAATAAATAAGTAGTTTAGTATCTCTTTTAGTACTAAGATTAAGTATTTTTAATTTAAATCTATATCTAGAGGTATAGATAATAGTAATAATTATAAATAAATTAAGTATTTAATTCTTATTAAGAATCTAGTTATCTTATTTAAATACTTTATATTATTAAGTATCTTTACTAGATTCTAAGGTAGGGCCTATTAGTCTATATTTTAAATCTACTCTTAAGCCTAGTTATACTTTAGGTATATTATAATAATATAATAAATAATCTTTAGATCTATTTAATATATTAAATATTAATTTATATTAATTTAATATATTTTATTAAGATATTTATTAAGGCTAATTTTATTAATATAGACCTAAAATAAGGTGCTCCTTTTTACTATAAGTAGACTACAATAGAATTAAAGTATCTTTTTATTAATTATAAAGACTAATATCTAAAGAGTAGATTTTAATTCTTATAATCTTACTTATTTTTAATTATTCTTTTATTATTATTATATAGTTTCCTTAATCTATTTATCTATTATAGAGTAGAGTAGTATAGTAATAATACCTCTTAATAGTAGTACTTTAGATCTATTATTATTATATTCTTAAAGATACTATTTAGTGGCTTATTTAATTATTTTATTAATATATTTATTATTTAATATATTAATATAAGTTAAGATTTAATAAAATTTTATTTTTTAGCTAGCTATTTAATACTTCTCTAGTAGTTTTATAATCTTCTTTATTAAATATTAATTAAATCTTTAAATAAGATTTTAGAGTATTTAGAGGGTAGTCTAATTATTTATATATATTTTAATTATATTAAAAAAGTATAGATTTTCTTTAATAAGATAAAAAATTAAAATAATACTTATTATTTTTATTATAACTATAATATTAATAGTCTTTAACCTTAAATAGGCTTATTTAGCTATTTAGGGTTTAAGGGCTACTATTACTATATTTATCTCTTTATAATATCTTAATTTATTTATATATATCTTTAAGATACTACTATATATTAGGAGGTAAATTTTATAATAAATAATTATAATAATTTTTAAATATATAATTTTAATAAAAAAAGGTTCTTATTATAGAAGAATAGTATAAAAGAGATATATTTTTATATTTTATATATTAATATTAATTTAGAAGAGCATCTCCTCCTTAGTAGTCTTAAGTAATATATATATTAAGAAATTATAATAAAATTTTAAATATTAAAGAATATAATAATATATTAATATTATTATAATATAAATAAGTATTATTAAGTATATTTTCTATAAGTACTATTTTATTAGTAAAAGATATAGGTCTATATTAAATATATTACTATTAATAGTATAGAAGCCTTCTAAAATAATATAATTATCTTAATATTAAATAATAATAAGATATTAAAGTTAAATATTATATAACTTTATATAACCTCTTTTTTAGGTCTTTTATTAAATAAATAATCTATATAGGGCTATTAAAGTAATATAAGTA